ACCCTCATCCTCACCCCAGCCCCTCCGGCAGCCCCGGGGCGCCACGCACCTCCCTCCTTTCGGCCCTGCTTTCTCACCCCATTCCCCACACCCTCCGCTCAGCCCCCACGGTCTGCTCGTCCCGAGCTCCCCACCTCTGACCCCCTCTCATCCGAGACCGCTCTCCCGTGAAGGTGCCCTGTGGAGCTCGCCCCTTCCTTCTGGATAACTCCGATCTCAGCCTGTCCCAAGTCTTAGTGTGTCTTGTCCTTACAGACTCGCCCCTGACTTTCTTTCCGTCTCCTGCCATCCCGAGGGCACCCTGTCCCTCGGTCTTTACTAAGCTGCCCCCAATCTTGCTGCTACCACCCTCACTCCATCCTATTGAAAATGGGTCCCCGTGGCCTTTCACTTCTGACCTCCCGCCGTACTTTCTCCCCTAGCTCTGTGCCCGTTCTTCCTTTGACCCAGCTCCCGTTCCCTCTTAGTGCAGGGTCCCCTCCCAGCCCCTCAACTGTCCAACCCGGGTGCTTGCCCAGAGCTGGGCAGTCAGCTTGGCAGGTGAAGGGCATTGGGTAGTGGGTAAGTGTGGGGGAGTAGCAAGCCCTCCCTGCCTTTTGGGTCAGACAGGGGTTTAGCCTGGTGTCAGTCCTCTGTACCTGTCCTCAGGGATGGCCTTCCTGGCATTCACACTAGTTACTTGCGCTGGCTACTGGAATGGCAGGTGTCATTTGCATATCTGGAAGGTGAGAGCTGGCCACTTGCCTGGCTCACTCAACCTGGGGCGGTGTTCTGGTGCCGGAACCTTAGGGAGGTTCATGTGCGATTGGCTGTGGTCATGGACCCTTGTCCATGTGCCTCCTCATGACATCTGCAAAGGCCTCTCCCCATACTCCTCCCTGCCAGGGCTGACTGCAGAGCTGTCCCATCACTGAACACGGGGGACAAACGAGGCATCAGAGGCAGTGTCACCTGTCGTGAGAAGTGCAGGGAATGAGTCCTGGGAGTCCAAGGCCAAGGAGAGTACAGAGGCTGTTGAGTTGCTTCCTCTTCTTGAGGTGCTGGGTGATTGGGCTTTGACTCTGTGGGCTCTGTGGACATAGGGAGCCAAGTTTAGCTCAGAGTAGCCGGGGGACACCCTGGAGACACCCAGTTTCCCCGCTTAGCATTTATAGTTGCCAGGAGGCTTTTTGGAGCACATTTCTTCCAAATTTTGGTGACCTGGCTTCAGAAGGACAGGCTTTTTCATAGCTGTGCTAAAGACCCAGAGAACATGGTCTCTGCCATGTGTGGTTTTGTTCCTTTGAAAACTGAGTGTCGATCTCCCTTCAGTGTCCTCCCACTAAGGGGTGGCAGGGCTGATGGTTTTTCAGCCTTGCTTACACTGGGTTCAACGGAAAGAGGCTGTCGTAGCCCCACCACGGTCTGTGGAATGAAATCTCACCCTGTGCCTTGTTTTTATTCTGTTCATCAAGTCATTCAACAATTCTTGTGTCCCAGGCACTGTTTTCGGTCTTAGAAATGCAGTGGGAACTGAGGTAGGCAGCATGCCTATTTTCATTCACTCCAGGGTTGATCCTTTTTGAGTTCTGTGGGACAGGGGACAGGAATGTGGGGAGGAAAGAAAGTCACCAACTTCCCAATTCTGCCCTCAGCCCCACCCCTTGGCATGGAACACAAGCTAGAAGTTTCTCACCTTCATATGGGTTTAATTGCTTCCAAGGCATGATCCTCCCCACCCACCCCACCCATCACTGGACATTTGTCCCGAAATCCAGCTTTCCTCAGGTGGAGGGAGGGGTCTTTTCCTTACTGTGCACTCACATGGCTCAAAGATCAGCTGCCTTCTGAATCAGAAGATAACTTGCTCAATCTTTTCCGACTGAAAAACCATGACTCATCAATGGCTAGGCAGTTGGGTGGCTTAAACACCAGGCTGTGGTTCTGAATAGCCAGGGACAAGGCCCAGGTGGTAGAGGCAAGGCCAGCCTGGGTGGAGTGGCTAGGAATCCTACAGAGAGGATTCCCTGATGGACACAGGGTTCTGAGAGTGTGGAGCCAGGTTATCTGTTTCTTTTTTTAATGTAAGTCTCATCTAAGTCCTCCTTCTTGTTTTTTCTTCCTCAGTCCCTGGAGGAAGTGGAATTGCCCATATGCAGAAGGCCAGGCCATATAATGAAGGGAACCAGCCAGAACAATGCCTTCCTGAGTCTGTGTCAGGACATTTAGACAGGACAACTCTGGGACTTGGGGGCGAAGGAGGCCCTGGGCTCAGCCAGCTGGGCTGTCAGTCTGACGGGCAGGACAATCTCCTGATGGTCATAGATCTTCTGTGATGACACGGAGCTTCCATGTACCTCTGAGGAGTCTGAAAATCACAGTTTGCCAGACACTTTTCAAACCAAGACTTGAGCAAGTTTGATCCAGTGAAAGGCACAGGAGGTGGGTTGAGGAAGCCAGAGCGTCTGTCCCTTACCTGAGGCCTACTTCTCCTGAGCCTCAGTTTTCCCCTCTGTGAGACAAGGATAATCATCTTATCTCCCAGGATTGTCTAAGAATTAGTATATTTTATTTATGTATTTTTGTATTTATTTATTTTTGAATCAGACTCTCACTCTGTTATCCAGGCTGGAGTGCAGTGGCACACTCACATCTGCTGTAGCCTCGACCTGCTAGGCTCAGGCGATCCTTCTGCCTCAGCCTCCCAAGTAGCTGGAACCACAGGCACACACCATCACACCCAGCTTTTTTTTTTTTTTTTTTTAATTTATTGTAGAGATGAGGTCTTGCCAAGTTGCCTAGGCTGGTCTCAAACCCCTGGGCTCAGCCTCTTACTTCAGCCTCCCATAGTGCTGGCATTACAGGCAAGAGCCACCATGCCTGGCTGTTGTCTAAGAATTAAATGGGGTTAGAGAAGGAGCCCAGAGATGTTCTCCCTGTCAGGTCTGGAGAGTGGGCTGAGGGTAAATCGGTTCCCAGTTGGAGGTGGGCTTGGTGTGATGCAGGTTTCCTGAGTGGCACAAGTCACCCTCCCCGCTCAGCTTCCCCCTGCCAGTGCGGGGGTCAGTTAAGAGTTCTTTGAGGACAGATGGTGATGTCAGTCCCATGTGATGGGAGCTTGGGAGTCTGAGCCACCCAGGCGGATGGTGGAGTCAGGAATCCGGAAGACCCAGAGCCACTGGTTCCAAGGGAGTTCGTTTTGCTGATTGCCAGCCCTGCTCCCTGGGAGCTTTGGCTTCCTGTGGGGAGGAGCCCTGCACTGTGACCTGATGCCCAGAGACTCAGTCCTGTTTTGTGAATTGTCAGGCGGCAGTCAAGCTGTTGTCATTTTGTGGTTTTTCTGACACTGCTTTAGGTGGATCAGTTACTCTTGTCTGGCCCTGCCCTATCTTCTCTTAGTCTCAATTTGTTTTGTTATTGTTTTTGTTTTAGAGATGTCTGTTGCCCCGGCTGGAGTGCAGTGCAATGGCGCACGCACCAGCACTCCCGGGCAATTTTAAAATTTTTCTGTAGAGACAAGGTCTTGCTATGTTTCCTAGGCTGGTCTCCAACTCCTGGCCACAAGCAATCCTCCTGTCTCAGCCTCGCAAAGTGCTGGAATCGCAGGTGTAAGCCCCAACCCAGCCTTGCTGTTTTAGCAGATGTTCCTTGGCAGAGTGCCCATTACTGATGGTCCCCACTGCCCCATGAATGCTCTACTGCTCATGGCTAATTAGGTCCTGAGACCTTGATGGGCCCAGGCTGCTGTTCAGATTGCTGGTCTAAGCCCTTAGGGTCCTACTTCTCCAGCTGAGGGAGGGGCTGCGGGAGGGGCATTGTCAGGGCTCTGTTGAAGGGCAGGCCTGAGGGAGGCCTTGGGCTGGTGGAGATGCGGAGCGTTGGAGCCAGAGAAGCTGGATGAGTTGGACTTGGCCTGCTGAGCTGCAGGAGGGTGGCCTTGAAGGAGCCAGCTCTGAGACCCTGCATGTTTTCAGTAGTGACTGCAGCCACACCAGTGTTCTTGTCATGGTGGTGGCCAGAATGTGGTGCTGTCTCCAGAGGAGGGTCCAGTGGACCCCCGGGGAGGGGAGCAGAGAGTGTGGGGAGGGGGAGGTATCAGGCAGGAGCTGCAGCCAGGCCATCACTTCCTCGTGGTTTGTGGTCCATGGCCAGAGCTGGGTCCACAGGGCCCATCATCTGCACGTGCATGCCTTCTGCAGGACCTGACCTGAGGAGGCAGGCTCTGGGGCCTGACCCTCTGGGTCCCGTTTGTCCTCTGCCATCTGTACACACCTGTCCCCCCCATGGGACCTGACATCAGGAGGCAGACTCTGGGGCCTGACCCGTTGGGTCCTGTTTGTTCTCTGCCATCTGCAGAGGCACAGATGCAACCACTACCTTCCACCCTGCAGGGACTGCCCGCTTCTCCTTCCCAAGCCCATGTTTCAGGCTCTCCTGGAACCCCTTCCTGCCTGGCCTTTCTGTTCTCCTGCACCGCCTGCCTGGGTGCCCAGCTCCTGGGGCCTCCTCCCAGCCCATCCCTGGAGGCCCAGCTCTGGGGTCAGGGTTGGCTTTGTTGGAGATGGGGGTGGTGCTTTTTGGTCCTGCTGTCTCAGAGTCAGCTGACTTGGGTCACCTCCAAGTTCTTATCTGTCAGATAGGATCATAAAACGGGCCCCTCGGTGCTGAGGAGGATAAGTGAGGGAGGCCATATGTGATGGGAATGGAACCCATTCCATGGTCCCTGGTTTGGGGACTTTCCTGAGCCATGGTGAGCAGAGACAGCTGGAACCGTTCTTGGTATCCCCTGATGTTCAGCAGGTGCTGGCTAGAGATGTGTTGAGGGGTGCAGGAACCTGCCTGGGCCTGCCAGATGCTGGGTGGCCCTCACACTGTAGGATTCTCACCCAAGGTAAGTACTGCACCTTGGCGAGCCGAGCTGGTCAGCAACCTGCTGTGATTGACCATGTGGGGGTCCTGTGCACAGTGTTCCTGGCTGCTCCAGCTGGGCCCTTGAAGCCAAAGGAGAAGCCAGAATTTAGCAGGAGATCCCTTCCCTTCTGAAGGCCCCAGTGGTGCTTCTCAGTGGGCATTGGGTTGACAGGAATGGGGGTGGGTGGGGTGTCACAGGGCCAGGCTCTGAACAGGACTCCTGAGCCCCTGGTTCTGGCGAACCCCCAGTGCCCTTGGCTCTGTACCCGAATCAGCCTCTCATTCTCTGCCCCAACCACAGGGTCCTGGTTTCTTGGGGCTTTTGGTGTGAAGAGTCCTCACCCCCAGTCCTTGGGGCAGATCCCCCAGGCCCTCCCCTCCTAGGTCTGAGCCCTCAGATGTGTTTAGTTTTGACTTTTGTATCCCTTAACGGTCTTTGGTGGTAGTTGAGGATGAGGAACTGACCTCCCGCCTGCTGGGAGAGGGCTGGGAGGAGCTGGGAGTGCACTGATGGGTGGTCATCTGTCCCTGCAGGTATCATGTGATCCCCCACAGTGCTGCGGCCAGAGTGGAGATGCTTTCAGTGGTGGAGAATGGACTGGACCCCCGGGCTGCCATCCCGGTAGGTGGGCGAGAGAGGGCCAGGTTAGGGGCTGCAGAGGACACCCGGGCATCAGCTTGTCTCACTTTGAAATGCATGGGCGCTGTTCGACACGAGAGGCCTCAGGTCAAGAGACAGTTGAGCAGAAGCAGGCTGAAGAGATCCTGCCCTTTCTTTTTTTTCCTTTTTTTTTCATGTCTTACAGTTTATTATGTTTCCTCAGTAAGATGGGTGTCTTTGATTTGCCCAGTGTTGATTGCTAAGTGCCTGGGACACAATTGTACCAAGTTGTGAGAAACCCTATGACTGAGGTCAGCACAAGGTGCTATGGAAATGTGTGGAAATGGTGGCCCATGCCCCGCAGATTAGGAAAGACCGTGAAGGGGGCTGGGTCATATGATTGGTGATAAAATGAGAATTTAGAAAATGCAAGGGGGATTGGGGGCAGATCACCTGAAGGCTGAGGATTCTACTCCAGGCCTCAGACCTCAACTGTCATGCGATGATTTGCCACAGCTTGGTCAGTGCACCAGACTGGTCAGAAACAAACATTCCCAGACACTAGGTTGTTGTTTCAGTAATGGGGGAAGTTAGTCTGAACATTTCGTATTATCTAGAATTTTCCAAACAGTTATTTGTGACCAGTTCACCAGTGTCCCCTCAGACCCTCTCTCTTGGGAGTCCTTTGCACCCAACTGGGACCGGGCTGTCTAAGGTCTCTGTGGACTGAGCTCTGCCAGTTCCCTTGGAGAGGCAGGTGGCCGGGGGTTCAGCAGACCTGGGGTGGCTTTTGGGCAGAGACCAGAATTTCCCTTTGCTCCCCATGGCTGCTCCCTGATGTAGAGGACTTTCAGCTGAAAAGGAGCTGCTTGATAGGAGCCATTGGAAGGTCCAGCTCCACCTGGCTCCCCCTTGGCCGCGGCCCCCCACCCCCACCCAGCCCCAGGGTCCTGCAGAGCTTGGCAGATCCCAGGCCAGCTCAGCCTTCTAACAGGGCAGTGTGGTCAGACTCCAAGGGTGTGTTCCCTGAGGACATGCCTTACTTACCCCTGTGCACCCCAGCCCAGCGCCTAGTAGGCGCTCAGCTGAACAAAGTGCATGTACTTTTGTTATAATGCACTAATAACATCTGGCATTTAGAAGAATATTTCACATGAGACTTCTTCAAGATTAAGAACTGGTATGCTTCAAAGGACACTGTGAAGAAAGAGAAGGCTGGGCCTGGTGGCTCAAGCCTATCATCCCAGCATTTTGGGAGACTGAGGCGAGAGAATTGCCTGAGCCCAGGGGTTTGAGACCAGCCTGGCCAACTTGGCGAGACCTCGTCTCTTCAATAAATCAAAAAATTAATTGGGCATGGTGGCATGTGCCTGTAGTTCTAGTTATTTGGAAGGCTGAGGTGAAAAGACTGCCTGAGCCCAGCAGATCAAGGCTGCGGTGGCCGTGAGCATGCCACTGCCCTCCAACCTGGGTGACAGAGTGAGACTCTGACTCAAACAAACAAACAAAAGACAGCTCATGGAACAAGAGGAGGTACTTGCAGACCATAGATCTGATAAGGGTCTCATGCAGACTACATACAGCACTCTTATAGCACAACAATACAGAGACCAAAGAATTCATCTATAAAATGGGTAAAGGGTTTGGACAGGCATCTCTCCAAAGAAGGTACACAAATGGCCAGTAAAGATGCTCATTATCCTTGGATATCTGGGAAATGCAGATCAAAACTGCAGTGAGGTACTGCTCACCCACCGGGAGGGCTGTAATAATAAACACAGACATTAGCAAGTGTTGGCAAAAATGTGGAGAAATTAGTACTCGTACGTTGCTGGTAGGAATGTAAAATGGTGTAACCACTTTAGAAAACAGTTTAGAGGTTCCTCAGTTAAAACGTGGGCTCACCATACGCAGTTCCACTCCTAGGCAGACTCCCCAGGGAACTGGAAACATCAGTCCACATGAAAACATGTGCATGAATGTTCATGGCAGCATTATTTGTAATAGCCAAAAAGTAGAAACCCAAATGTCCATTAACTGATAAGTGGATAAACCAAATGTGGGCTAGCCATGCATGGAATCCTGCTTGGAATAAAAGGGGTGACACACTGATGCATGCATGGATGAGCCTCAAACATAATGCTAAGTGAGAGAGGCCAGACTCAGGGCTCATATGTTGTATTCTGTTCATATCTCTTCCTATGAAGTGTCCTGAGTAGGAGAAGCCATAGGGACAGGAAGTGGTTCAGAGACTCTGGTCACTCCCTAGCCCCCCTCCCCCAGCCCTGGCAGTCACTGATACACAGTATTTCTGTTTGGAAATCTTCTAGAAGTGAATAATTGTGATGGTTGTGCTGTTCTGTGAATGTACTCAAAACAATTGAACTGTATACTTTAAATGGGCAGATTTTATGATGTGTGAATCATCTCTCATTAAAGCTGTTACTGTTTTAAAAACAAGATTTCAAAAAATATTAACATTTACTGTTTTGCCTAAAATCAAAATACAAGAGTGAAGCATATATGCATAACCTATCTCCTGACAGTTCAGGCCAGGTCTGGTGCAATTCTTCTATCCTCTTCCAGAAAGGTGTGTGATTTTTGACTGACTTATAATTAAGATCAAACAATTTTTATTCTGTATTTCCAAAAGACTTTATGTACGTTTTGTGATGTACTCACTTAACAAACATTTACTGAGCACTTACATGTGCCAGGCACAGTGCCAGGTGCTGACACCAGGATGAATAGCAAATTAGTTCTGGTTACATGCAACTCTTGAATAATCTGTCTCACAGGTTTTCTGGTTTTCACTGGAAACCTCCCCTGCCCCCCAAAAAACAACCAGTCCTGCCCTCTAGTGCTGCAGATCAGGAAGTCTTATTTCCACTTAACAAATGAGGAAACAAAGGCTCCAAGAGGTCAAGTGGAATGCCTGAGGCCCCTGGCTCCAGGCTGAGGCCTTTTTAGCATGGACCAGCCACACTCCTGTTTTCTTGACTTTTTTTGTTCTAAAGCAGCATGTTTTGCCCCTTAGCTTATTTTTTCTCTGGAGAACCTCAACTGTGTAAGTCAGGGGGAAGCCCCCCTTGTCCAAGATGGATTTGCCCAGCTCCCCTGGCTGGAGCTGTGGTAGAACCGACATTTAAACACGAGATTAGATGGCCATAAGTGTGCTCAAGTGTGTTTAGAAAACAAAAGAATCTGCAATGAAGGACATGCAAAGCAGTCACAGTAGTCACCAGGTGGTGTGTGCAACCGACCTTTTGTTTCTTGTGTGTCACCTTCATTTGCCGAAGTCAGCATGCTAACTTTACAGAAGGACTCGTAGGTACACATAGGCATGTGTGCATGTGGTGGCATGCATATTTGGTGACAGGCAGACAGAGTTCCATTCCTGGGGCTCTCCCAGGTTTTCCCTTAAAGGCCTGTGTTCTGTGTGGCACTGCCTAGGTCATCAAGAAGAAGCTGGTGGGATCTGTGAAGGCCTTGCAGAAGCAGTACGTGTCCCTGGACACAGTGGTCACCAGTGAGGACGGGGATGCCAACGCCATGTGCAGCGCCTTGGAGGCTGTGTTCATCCACGGCTTGCATGCCAAGCACATCCGAGCTGAGGCTGGAGGGAAGAGGAAGAAGAATACCAATCAGAAGCCTCTGCCTCAGCCTGTGTTCTGGCCCCTCCTGAAAGCCATCACCCACAAGTGAGCTTGGTGGGGGGTTTCCTTGGGGAGGAGCCAGAGAGCTCCTGGGCACCCTGGCTCTTCCTCTCCAGCAGTGTGGGTACCAGCAGGTGCCCCGTGTTCTAGTGTAGACAGGGTGGGGCAGGCGGAGAGTGTCTTCTAGAAGGGTTTATCTGCAGAGTGTGCTTCCCACTTGTGTGCTGGCAGACTCAGGTGATCCTGCAGCTGGGCCAGGCTGGTGGCCTTCCACGGGAGTAGCCTTTCCCACTCCTTGCAGAATTAGGTCCTTGCCACAGGCTGTGTGTCCTGCAGAGCCTAAAGCACTTGTGTCTGGCCCTGTACAGGGAAGGCTTACCAACCCTGCCTCAGAATGTCTGAATGTCGCTGTCTGAGTATCATACTCCTGATGTGTGGTTATTTGAATCAAAGGGCGGGGTCTAGGTGTCAGAATGTTCACCCCAGACACATCTCCTTTTGGCCCCACGCCTCGTGTTCAGGCTTCTCAGCAGGCAGCTGGCACTATACCACTGAGGAGCCTTGTTGGTCTCTGATCTCTCTGTGCCTGCTGCCACTGCCCTATCTCAGATTCTCTGGGTGACAATGGCATTCTAATTGTCCCCCTTACGTTGCTTTCCTTAAGTCTGTCACTGGTTCACACCTACTGAGCTAAGCCACTCGGAGCTCACCCACTCGCTGGGTCTGGTGCAGCGTGGTCTGCGCTCCCCCCTGGGACTCATGCCAGGGGGCTGTGGTAGTTCAGGGGAGGGGCATGTACATCAGAGTGCAGGTCCAGGACCTTAGTTTGCACACCTGGGGTCCAAGCTCCTTATTCAGAGCGTCCTCCGCTGTCAATGTGGTCATGGTCAAGTCACTTTCCCATGCAAAAACCTATAGTCCATAGGCTTCCGGCAGCTAATCTGGAGGCCGATTCAAGAGCTTGGGGCCCTGGAACCAGATCCTGTCAAGGTCCCCAGGGACTCTGATGCACAGTCAGGGGAGGAGCCATTGCCCAGCTGCCTGGTCAGTCTGATATTCAAGACCCTCCTTTCCTGGCCCTGCACCCTCCTCCACACTTGCACCCCCCTAGGGGCTTGTCAGTTTCCCACCCTCTGTGCCTGTCTTCATTAGTCTCTAGAAGGCTCTCCTTCCATTTTTGCCTCTTGAGCTCCCTCAAGGGTCCAGCTCAGACTCTGGCCTTTCTGTGGCATTTTTCTTACTCCATCTGGGAATAATTGCCCAGCCCCCCACCCTGCTCTAAGATAAGAGGGCTTGCCTCGGTGTGCCCTTGAAAGGCAGAACCTGGAATGAGGGCAGGGCCCATACTGGGACCCCATATCCTCAGCTCCTGGGACACTGCACTTGGGGGCTCTGTAGACATGTTCTGAAGGAGCGGGTGATGTCAGGGTCCAGGGGGTTGTCATGAGCATGGCAGCTCTCCCTTACGACACCAGCCGCAGAAAGTGGGTCTCTCACTTGGTATCTCCATATGCCCCTCAGAACACCACTGCGCAGGAGTTGTTCGTGCCTCCCTGTATCTACCTAGTTATTCTTGGGCCTTTCCAGCCGTGTGTCTGAGGCAGTTTCTCAGAAAGAACCCATTCTTCCCTCGCAGACACATCATCTCAGAGCTGGAGCACCTGGCCTTCATCAGTACTGATGTGGGCTGTTGTCGGGCATGGCTGCGCCTGGCACTCAATGACGGTCTGATGGAGTGCTACCTGAGGCTGCTCCTGCAGGAGCAGGCCCGGCTGCGTGAGTACTACCAGCCCACTGCCCTGCTCTGTGATGCCGAGGAGGTCGAGTTCCTCCTGAGCCTCCTGCAGGGACTCACATCCCTGTCCTTTGAACTCTCCTACAAGTCGGCCATCTTGAACGAGTGGACGCTCACGCCCTTGGCCCTCTCTGGGCTCTGCCCGCTCTCTGAGCTCGACCCGCTGTCTACCTCTGGCACAGAGCTCCAGCGTAAGGAGTCTCTGGACTCGATTTCCCACTCCTCAGGCTCAGAGGACATTGAGGTCCAGCACTCGGGCCCTAAGATCCGGCGGAACAGGAAGCTCATGGCCTCCTCCCTTAGCCTCGACACGGCCAGCTCGTCCCAGCTGTCCTGCAGCCTCAACTCGGATAACTGCCTCCTCCCAGGGGATGACTGCAAGAGCCCTGACCGCTCTGAGGAGCCCATGTCCTGCGGCTCAGACCCAGGCACAGCCAACGCCGGGAACTCAGACTGCTCTCTGCAAGAGTGAGTGTCCTGTGCCTTCGCCTCCGCCCCCTCCTTCCTCACTCCCCTTGTCCTCCTGTCCTTCCTCTAGGGTGTGATTGTTGCCAAACTCTATCAGGAGTTAAAGAAAGTCAGAGGAGACACATCTCCCCTCCAAGGACTGGAGTTGCTGGAGCTGGAGCAGGCAGCTCAGGCCCTGTGGGGAGAGTGGGTCGCAAGGGCTCAGAGCTGGCACAAGCTCTAGCTCACCTCAGGTGGCCTTTTTTTTTGAGTTGGGGTCTCACCCTGTCACCAGACTGGAGTGCAGTGGCATGATCTTGGCAGTCTTGACCTCATGGGCTCAGGCAGTTCTTCCATCTCATCCTCCCAAGTAGCTGGGACTATAGGCATGTAGCACCACACCTGGCTAACTTTTCTGGGTTGTTTTTGTAGAGACAAGGTCTTGCTATGTTGACCAGACTGGTCTCAAACTCCTGGCCTCAAGCAGTCTTCCTTCCTTGGCCTTCCAAAGTGCTGAGACTACAGGCATGAACTACTGCGCCCAGATAATTTTTTTGATTTTTTGTAGAGGCAAGGTTTTGTTCTTCTCCAGGCTCTTCTAAACTCCTGGGCTCAAGTGATCCTCCTGCCTTGGCCCCCCAAAGTGCTGGGACTACAGGTATGAGCCACCAAGCCCAGCTAATTCTTTAAAATTGGTAGAGACAAAGTTTCATTATGTTGCCTAGGCTGGCCAGGTGACCTTTAACAAGTCACATAGTCTCCCAGAGTTGGTGTAAAATATTGTCATCTTCATCAAGAGTGGGGGAAACAAATAATTCAAAGTATGTTTACAGTTTCCAACAGATATACTGAAGTGTAATACATAAGGGTGTGACCTCACAGAAGACATCCTGGGGGACATGCACCCAAATGCTGCTGGGGAGGGGTGGCCAGTGGGGACATCGGTGTATGGAGGAGGGTGGAGGCCAGATGACCTTGACCAGAGAGGGAGCCCAGCAGAGACTTCTTTAAAACTCAGTTTTTGTACAGATAATCTATTTTTATGGTTTAACAGATCTAAAGCCTCTAGAAGTCTCTCCCACCTGTCCCCGTGTTCTTCTTTCCCCACCCTGTTACCTACAGGTTTTCAGATATCTTCCTTATTTCTCCTCCGCTTTCCCACAGAAGGTGGTGTGTGCACACTGTCTGTATCACGTGCTGGAGGAGCCTCTTCCTGATCCTTTTTGCTATTGCATGTTATTCCATTGTGTGAATGTTTCATCATTCACTTAATCAACCCTCTGTTAATGAACGTTAGCAGATCACTATTTCTATAAATAACCTGTGCGTGGCCTTTTAGTTCTGTGCAAGGATCTCTGTTCAATAAGCTCCCAGAAGCAAGTTGCTGAGCCAGACGATAGGTTAACTCGTGATTTTCACAGAAAGTGACTGTTGTACTCTGACAGCAGTGCCCCGTGTCATCTCAGCCTTGTCAGCAGAAGTGTTATGAAGCCTTGGGTTATTTGCTCATTTGATGGGTGACAGATGGTACTTCTTTATTAAGAGCCTTCTCCAGTCACACCCAAGTGCTGCCAGCCTGTGCGTAGGACCACCTTTTCCACTCCTGCTGTGCCCCCACCTTGGCTCAGGCCCTTCCAGGTTTCCTACCCAGTGTGGGCATTGCACCCAAATTGGGTGGGGTCTGGACCTGGCTTGGGGTAGACCTTGTGTCCAGTCCTGTTCCACCACTGATGAATCTGGTAATGCCTCTGTTTCTTCATCTTTAAAATAGTATTCCCTCTTAGGGCTGTTTGAGCATAAATCAGACAACTTGAGTTGAGGGTGTCTGGTAGGCCTAGAAACTGCTTCTGAGCACTGACCACATTAGAAAGAGTTCTCAGATGTCCAGTGGAGGAATTTGGATAGAAAAAATTGGGAGAAGTGTCCTTGCTTCTGGGTCTGTGTTGTGATAGGCTGTGGCATGTCCTAGGCTGGCTCACCTGCCTCTGCCCTTCCCGTGTCTCTGCCTCCCCAAGGCCAGCCAGCTTCTCTGTGTCACCTGCCTCGCCTTTATCTCTCATGAGTCTCATGATTGGAAAATTCCAGTGCATGGTCATTTAATCAGTGGCCATCCACCCTGGGCAGGAAGTGTTGTTGAGTATTACAGGAAAACCCAAGGCACAAGGGTCAGGATGCATAGAGAAGCACAACAGTGGCACCAAGAATGGCAAACAGAAAGCATAGATGTGCAGCTGAGAGAGCAGATAGCAAGAGAAAGGTTAGGTAGATAGACAGGGCCGGTACTCCAATAACAATGTAGCGAAATGTAGTGAAATTCCCATAGGACTCTCAGACTGATTCATAAACCAACTCCCTGTGAGCCTCTCAAGCTAGAGTTTAAGTACTGACTGCTGGGTTAGAAAAATGACCAATCAGCTTGCTGTCAAGTGCTGACCAATCAGCTAACTATTAGGCCCCTACTTCCTGCTGATTGGTCTTTAGTACTAACCAATCAGTTCATAGTTAGTGCTAGCCAATCGCCTCAGTCGTAGGGCAATATAAATACCAGGTCTCAGCTCCAAATCAGCCACCCCCTCGGGTCCCCTCCCACTGTGGGAGTTTTCCCCTGCCTTTCCATCCTCTCAATAATTCCTGCTTTCTCACTTTCTGGCCATCCATGTCCCTCATTCCTCCTGGGCACAAGATAAGAACCCCGACCTGAAGAGCTGCAGAAGATTGTTGGAGCCAGAGAGCCTTGCACCCTGGAGGCTGGCTTGCCAGTTGATGGAGCTGGCTGAAGCGGGAGGGCTGCTGGAAGGCAAGACTCCAAAACTGAGACACTCTGGGGGCTAGGCTTACCAGCCCACTGAATCAGCAGTACTGTTAGGGCTTGGCTTGCCAGCCCATTAGAGCCAGCACTTCTGGTGCTAGGCTTACCAGCCCATCCAGCTGACCCTCTCAGGGGCTCGGCTGGATGACCCATTGAACTGACACTCTCAAAGCCCAGGCTGACCCAAAAAACCTGTATCAAAGGCACATACTAGTACCGCCATCCTCAGAGCTGGGCCAAGGCATCAGTCCCTGAGCATTTGCAGAGTACACCCTTTCTTGGTATGTGTATTTCAAGGGTAGAGATTCTTACTGACACATTGTTATCACTACATTACTAAAATATTTGCAACTTTAAATTAGACATGAACACCTTTTTGGCTGTTGTGAGTCACATTGCCATGAACATTTGTGTACAAGTTTTTGTGTGGACATGCTTTTAGTTCTCTTAGGTGGATAACTCAGGGTGAAATTGCTGGTCATATGTGACTCTTAGTTTAACTTTTTGAGAAGCCTCTGAGCTTTTTTCCACAGCCCTGGTGCCACTTACATGTCCACTAGTCCTGCCAAGAGTTTTAATTTCTCCACATTTTTTTTCTTTTTTGAGTAGGAGTCTCACACTGTCGCCCAGGCTGGAGTACAGTGGCACAATTATGACCACCACAGCTTCAGCCTGCTAGACTCAGGTGATCCTTTTACCTCAGCCTTCCAAGTAGCTGGAAACACAGGTGTGCACCACCATGTCCAGCTAAATTTTTTTTTTTTTTGGTTTGTGGTAAAGACAAGGTCTTGACAAGTTGCCCAGGCTGGTCTTGAACCCCTGGACTTAGGCAGTCCTCTCGCCTCCACCTCCCAAAGTTTATAGTATAATCCCAAAGATTATAGGTATGAGCCACTGTACCCAGCCAGTTTCTCCACATTTTTTGCCAACGTTTGCTCTTCTCTGTCTTTTTTATTAAAGCCATCCTCGTGGGTGTGAGGTAGTATGTGACTGTGGTTTTGTGTTTCCCTGATGGCTGATGTTGCTGAGATCTTCATGTACTTATTGGCCATTTGTGTATCTTCTTTGGAGAAAGGTAATTGGATCCTTAGCCCATTTGAAAATTTGGTTCTTTGTCATATTTTTGTTGAATTGTAAGTGTTTTTTGTTTGTTTCTTTTGAGTTAGAGTCTCACTGTGTCACCCAGGCTGGAGTGCAGTGTCACATTCATGGCTTACTGCAGCCTCGACCTCCTGGGCTCAGGTGATTCTCCTGCCCCAGCCTCCTGAGTGGCTAGGATTACAGGTACATGCCACCACTCCTGGCTAATTGTTTTGTTTTTTATAGAGACAAGGTCTTGCTATGTTGCTCAGACTCAATCAATCTTCCTAGGCTCAATCAATCTTCCTACCTCGGCTTCTCAAAGTGCTGGAACTACAGGTGTGAGCTGCCACACCTGGCTGTAAGAGTTCTTTATATAGTCTGGATACTAGACTCTTATATATGATCCACAGACACTTCCCCCATTCTGTGTGTTGTCTTTTCACTTTCTTGATAGTGTCCTTTGAAGCACGAAAGTTTCTGATTTTGATGAAGTTCAGTTTATCTATTTTTTATTGGTTGTTTTTATTGGTTGTTTGGGTATCAACTCTGAGAAGCCATTGCCAGAGACATGGAACTTTTACTGCTGTTTCCTCCCAAGAGTTTTATAGTTTGAGCTTGTATATTTTGACCTTTGGTCTATTTTGAGTTAATTTCTGGAGGTGGTGTGACATAGTGGTTCAGCTTTCTTCTTTTGCATGTGACTCTTCACTTATCCCAGCACCACTGGTGAAAAGACTGTTTTTGCCTCATTGAAATGTCTTAGTATCTTATCATAAATACAATACCTGTTGTTTTGGGGGTTGTGAGGGTGTAGGTAAGAGCAGAGCTCAGTGGGAAGCCAGGTAGGCAGCTTGAGTTTTAAAATCCTCATTTCCATAAGCTCAGACCAAGGGGTGCTTCATGTGTCTTCTGGGCCCAGGGTCGGCATTGGAGCATATGGGCTTAAGGACTCCAGGCGGCTTTGTTACCATCTGAACCTGCACATGTCCCTGAGAAGTTCACTGGTTTATCAGCAGAAGGGAAGAAAGCAAATGGGTTTTTTTACCCAAATGGAGCTTGAATTCTCAGAAGACTAGGGTGAGGGAGAAAAACAGTCACTAGTCAGTGCACATCAGAAGACCCTGAGTGTTTCTATAGGGATGTGTGTGTTTGTTTGTGTGTGTGTACACAAAGACAGTACCGTGGCTCCCTGTGGTCTCAGGAAACACCACCATGGTGACAGGGAGTGGCAGTCCCCTGGGAAAGAGGGAGTGGGTGCACACCCCAGGCACACCTTATGTACATGAGCTATGGCAGCAGTTTCTGGAGATGAAGGCTTCCTGCTCCACACCCAGGCCCACCCATCCCCCAGCCTGCTGGCCCAGCGCCTGCTCAGGGACAAAGTAGTCCTCACTTGGAACACCGGTGTAGACCTCACTTCACCCAGGCCCTGTCTGGGGGGGGTCTCAGGGCCTCAGCTGCTGGGCCGCCTGAGAGTTTCCATGCCGTGGTGTTTGAGGCCCTGACTGCACACTCAGTACATGTGGTGGGGACAGCTTATGCCCACAGCCCAGCTGTTCAATGATGTCACTTCCCATTGGCATCAAGGCCTCCCTCTGCCGCGGGAGCTTTCCCACCTGAGATCCCAGCTCTGCTGCGTGCCTGCCCACCCACCTGCCTAGTCTTGGCTGGGAAGAACATGGATGGGAGTGTAGGGGAGTCCTGTGAGAGGGGTGCGTGGATAACTAAGAGGATGTGATTTAAGTCATAAAACAGCAGTTTTGCCTACTTCCCACTGCCCAGTAGCTTTGGGTATGGAGGCTCACAACCTATCACACCAGTTTCTTTGTTTAAAAACTTCCAGGGTGTTGTCAGAATTCAGCAAAGCCCAGGTTAACACCGTGTCAACTGACGGACTGAGCCAAGATGTGGAGTATCCCACTGCCCCGGCCTCGCTCTGCGCCCGTGACCTCCTCACCAGTATGACCCTGCACTGCAAGTCGCCCACAGAGCCCCTTCCCTCACTGGCAGCCTCTGGAATGCGTGATAGTGGCCATGAGCAGGAGCCATGTGCCCTGGCACCTGACACCCTGGACTTGTGGCAGCCAGGCTCTGTCCATGCTGTCCCTGCAGGGAACATCCCTGGCCAGCAGCCCCATGGCTCTGCAGGAGAGACAACCAGTGCCATCAGCCAAGAGGGTGGCCAGCAGGAGCCTCCAGAGCCTGATGAAGTCAGCCCAAAGCTCCTGGTATCCTCACCCAGCAGTCCGGTGAGTGGCGCAAGCCCATCGGGGTATTGTGGGAAGTGGCCAGAGCTGACACAGGGTTCCCAGCCAGTGCCTGACAATCCCTGCCCTCCCACCAGCCAGCCACTCCCTGTGTGGTGACCAGTGACAGCATCTGGTGAGGGAGCCAATGCTGCTTGTGGGGTGAGTGGCCGATGGGAGCCAGGCATAGTGCCGCCTCCTGTGTGGTTGCCACCATCTTCACCTGGACCCTGGTGGGGGGGTTGTTCTCACCAGCCCACAGCCCTGTCCTCACCCACCACCCTCGCCAGCACCGGGCAGCTCGCCTCACCTCTCCCAGCCTGAGTTTTCACCTTAATACTTGCTATTGTTAACTTCATGCAAAATGCTCGTTTTGCTGCATGAACCAGGTTTTAGAGCTGTGCCATCCCACGTGGCAGCCATAGCTCACGTGGCCTTGGGACATGATGAGTCCACATGGAAGTGTACTGTGAGAGAGCACTGAGTTTTGACAACTCAGTGTGAAAAAAGAATCGACAACTTCCCAATTTCTAAATTGATTTCATGTCAATATGAAAATATTTTGGATATATTGGGGTAACTAAAATGTATTCTTAAAATTAATTTCAATCAGGCTTGGTGGCTTAGCCTGTAATCCCAGCACTTTGGGAGCCCTTGGGTTCAAGGCCAGTCCAGGCAACTTGGTGAGACCTTGTCTCTACAGTAAATAAAAAAACTAGCTGGGTGTGATAGCACGTGCCTGTAGTTCTGGCTACTTGGAAGGCTGAAGCAGAAGGATCGCCTGAGCCCAGCAGGTCGACACTGGAGTGACCATGGGCATACCACTGCACTCCAGCCTGGGCAAGGAGATTCCAACTCAAAAAAAAAAAATTAATTTCCCCTTTTTTTTTTTTCTTTAAAGAGACAGGGTCTTGTTTTGTCACTCAGGCTGGAGTGTAGTGGTGTGTTCACAGCTCACTGCAGCCTTGAACTCCTGTGCTCAAGTCATCCTTCCACTTCAGCCTCCCAAGTAGCTGGAACTACAGATGCGTACTACTGTGCCCAGCTAGTTTTTTAATTTTTTGTAGAAACGAAGTCTCACTGTGTTGCTAAAGTGGGTCTTGAACTCTTGGGCTCAATCAATTCTTCTGTCTCAGCCTCCCAGAGTGCTGGGATTATAGGCATGAGCCATCATGCCTGGCCCTTTTTACTTTTTTTTTTTAATGTAGCTACTAGAACATGTAAAATTATGTATGGAGCTCATTGTTTATTTCTATTGGACAGCACTGTTCTAGACTAATCCAATTCAGTTGAGTGCAGTGATGCATACCTGTAGTCTCAGCTACTTGAGAGATCAAGGTGGGAGGATTGCTTGAGGCCAGGAGTTCAAGCACAGCCTGGACAACATAATGAGACCCTGTCTCTACAAAAATTTTTTAAAGTAACTGGGTGTGGTCATATGCACCTGAGTGTTAGCTACTTGAGAGACCGAGGTGGGAAGATCGCTTGAAACCAGAAGTTTGAGGCCAGCCTGGGCAATGTAGCAAGACCCTATCTCTAAGAAAGAAAAAAGAAGCCCATCCATTTTGTTGATGACCTGAGGGAAGCCAGCTCTGGGTGTCTCCTTGAGAGAGCCATGGGAATGACTGACTCAGTAGAGCGCCAGACAGAGGCTGTAAACTTGAGCTCCTGTGCCCTTTACTTTTCTCCTCCTGTGACCTTTGAGGTTTCCTGGACACAGTTACTGACTTTTACTGAGTGTTGGTAGGAAAGTCGTGTGTGTGGCAATGCATCCTTGGCTGCCCGGCGACCCACACAGGGACAGTCACAGGAGGGGAAGGGGCAGTGCCTGTCGGGCCAGGCGAGGGGACAGGGGGATACCTTTCCAGACCTGGGTGCCCAATGATGCCCCTTCCTGACTCCACAATTAAACTGCAGCAGAGCAGGGCCATGGGAAGCAGAGGCAGGACTGCACAGATGCAGCTGCATTCTCCAGCTGCAGGCTGGGGTCAGGCTGGGACGTGTCTTGCTTCAGCTCTAGACATGCTCATCTCTCCTTTGGACTGTGGCCTCTGAATCATATGTCTTGGGCAGGCGCGGGGGCCGTGAAGTAGATGGACAAAGGCACTTCCATCTGTCCCTCCTAGAAGCAACCATACTGAGCTACAACTCCCATAGTGTAGCATCCTCCTGGGGGAGGATAACTGTGCGCTCCAGTGTGTCCATGGACTGTGTAGCCATCACCATGGGCTAATTCCAGAACATTTTCATCCCCATAAAAGAGACCCCTACTCATCCCTCCCATCTCTCCCCACTGTTTCTAGATTTGCCTGTCCAGGACACGTCCTCGAAATGGAGCCATTCAGCATGTGGCCTTCCTTGCCTGGCTCCTTTGCTTGGTGACATGTTTTCAAGGTTTGCCCACATAGCACGGATCAGTACTTTGTTCCTTTTGAATGCTGACTGATATCCCATTGTCTATTCCATTGTGGGCTCATCAGCTCATGGACCCTGGGTTGTTTCTCCTTTGGGCTGTGGTGAATGCTGCTGCTGCAGGCATTGTGTAGACCTTGCTGCGGGCGCAGAATGTGGGGATCGTTGGTAACTGCACTTAGCCTTGGGAAGAGCTGCCGGCTGTCCTCCCAGTCAGCTGCCCTGCTTGACATCCCTACTGGCAGTGCCTTCTCCATGTGCCCCCAGCAGTGTTACTGTCTAGTTGGTACGATTCCTTTCATCGCCCTGTTGGTGGGTCAGAAGTTGCCCCCATCTTCCTGACTGTGGATGACATTGTGTGTCTTTTTATGGCGTTGTTGGCCATTTGTGTATCTTCTTTGAAGAAATGGCTATCGAGAATCTTTGTCCATTTTAATTAGGTTTATTTTTCTTTTTTTTTTAGTGCTTTTATTTTAGAGATAGGATCTCGCTTGCTGCCCAGGTTGGCGTGCAGTGATGTGATCATAGCTCCCTGCATCCTCAGACTCCTGGCCTCAAGCAGTCCTCCTGCCTTAGCCTCCCAGAGTGGTGGGATTACAGTCATGAGCCACCATGCCCAACCTACAGTGAATATCCCACACCTGCCCTTTGGCGACCCTTCACTCTCACTTCTTCGGTCATATGCCTAGGAAAGGACTTGCTGGGTAGGCGTAGAGTTTACGTTGGTAGATCTGCCCAGCACTTTTCTAAAGTACTTTTATGATGTATACTCATATTGGCAGCATCTGAGCACTTGAGCTGCTCTGGATCCCAGCCAGTAGGATTGCCAGTCTTTTAAATGTTCGCTGCTCCAGTCGGTGTGTAGTGGTTTGAACGTCCATTTCCCTGGTGACTAAAGATATTGAGATCCTTTCATTTGATCCTTTTGTGTGAAGTGTCTATGCAAGTCAGCATCCCTTCCAGATTTGAGTGTGACTTCTATATTGATTTGTAGGGACTCTTTAGGATTATGGATATAAATCTTTTACTGCTTTACCTTTAAATCTTTAATAAACAGAATGGAAGCTCTAAATTTTAATGATGTTCTACTCATCGATCATTTTCTTTATGGTGCATGTTTTTGTCCTATTTAAGAAATCTTTGTCTACCCAACGCTCTGAAGTTGTTTCCTGTTTTTTTCTAGAAGCCTTAGTAATGTACCTTTCGCAGTCAGGTGTACAATCCATCTGTGACTCTCTTGTGTGTGGTGTGAGGTCTTTCCATGTGGCTTTCTGGTCGACCCAGCACCACTTACTGAATGTGACTGTGCAAATCACCTAGCTGTGGAAGTGGGGGTCAGGCTCTCTATATTTGCCGTTCTGAAGATGGCTTCAGTAATCCTGAAGATGAATGTTACGGGACCCTGATGGTGGGGAGTGGACCACTGCCACACCATGCTAAAGGTGAGGGGGGAAGGTTCTAGCCCCAACTAGAGCTGGGGGCAGAGTGCTATCCCCTGGGGTGGCAGCTGCACCCCGACAGGCTCCACAGAAGTCACTGACCATGTTGAGTGCATGTCTGTCCGTCCAGGGCTGGCTTGTGCTTTGCAGGCTCAGACATCCTGTGTGGCCATAGCCCTCTTTGCACGGGGCAGTGGAGAGGATAGG